ACCATGCTAAATACAAATTTGAACCTATTAGTAACGATCATCTAAGTATATGTCAGCCATTACATGAAGAAGTCCTACTGTTTATTATAACTACGTTTGAAGCCAGATGACAGGCAAAATACACATAATTGGAATCATAATTTTTAAATTGGAATTAAAAAATTCATTATCTTAGGTATAACTGAGAGTACACTTACTTCCCTTAGCAATTATACAGGGTGATTCAGAACTAGCACGACGGAAAATAGTGATAAAAACGATCAAAAACTTGAAAGAATTTCGCAAGGAAAGGAATAAATAGAATTTCATAGCACCTATTTTATATCAAATAAATTCAACTGCTTTTGCCGCTATTGTTATTATTCATTAATAAAATTAATTTGTGATTTTAATTAATAAAATAATTACAACTGTTCAAAATTTTGTCCACCGACGTGTCAACACTCAATTTCTATCAACTAACAGAAATGTCCTGTTTCACCATAACACAACTGTTTCACCATAATGCAAATGTTATCTTGCTTCACCATAAATTAAACCATCAACTTTACACGCAAGCCATTTTTGACACTAACTACTAAAAAACTATTGTAAACACTATCGCAACGACGCATCGGATTTCAGTATTCGGAGTCGCTGAGGCCACGTAGCTCTCCTCCTTTTGCAAAAAAAAATTTACGGTATTAACTCCATTTCTCATGTCGCATCTATTCCCAATTTTTTTTTTTGGATAAGTTGTGAATCACTCTGTATTTTGAAAATTTATTTTAGTTCACAGGACATACATACTTATATTTGAACTATCGGTGACCTAACTACTGACGTAATAAAGAAATTATTTATAACATAGGGATCGAATAAGTTTGGTGATACTTCATTTCCTTTTTTTTGCATGAATATTTTTTTTTATTTATCGTTTGTTCCAAAGTGTCAACATAGCAACACATGCATTTTATTCAAATTTGCCGCTGTCACATAGAATCTTCGAGCAAATAAGCACCTAAGCCCCGACCAATCAGCTCGCGGAGCGAGAGAGATAACATGTCCTTTTATTCTCCTTCCTCTCTCGCACACCAGTCGCGCTTTCTCAGCACTATGAAGGCTGCCTCTAGGAGTATATGCTCGAAGCATAGAGTATAACATTTATCTAGTAAATTGTTATTGCTTTATTTTAGTTTTTCAATTTTTTGGGTTTGTACAAAACAAGTTCCGTTGAAATTATATTAGTTGATAAATTCCATACAAATTAATTTAATGTTTTAATTAAGAAAATTATAAATTTTATATTTCCATTTTCATCTTAAGAGAGAAGAAATATCTCGGTCGTATCGACAAAGCCATGAGAAATTCCTTATTTTCGTATATATTATTAGGTAGTTCAAAAAAGTTATTATTTAGCTCGATATGTATCACACCAATTCACTCGCGTTAGCAATAGTCATCTACAACGGAGGGTAAACAGAACAAAAACTTATATCGCAAACACGCCCTGTCTACCGAAAATTCCGGCAATATTTTTTAAAGGATAACTGCTCTAACGATATTTGGGATTTATGGTAAATATATGAAAACGAAACGTATATACGTTTACAACTTCGCAATTTATGAGATCGCAAAACCTATTGCCCTGACGTTATATATTGCGTCTTTTTATGGCACTGTCCCGAATAAATAACAAATCAGCCATTGATTTTTATGTAGTACCGCCCAAATGAGGATTTGCATTGCCTTACCATGAACAGTTTCGTTAGAATTTCAATGGGGCGAGGTGATTCTAAATCTATTGTCATGACAATGACACATTTATCTGTTCTTGGAATAAACATTACTAGAAACAAGTTATAATAGAGTATCCGTAACCTTAACTTCTCCACACTTATTTTATATTATAAAAAAATTTGTTATTTTTAACCGTTGTTTATTCTTTGGAAATTTATTTACAATTTCTCAGTATATAGTCAGTTAAAATCATAAAAAATACATCTTGAAGGAGTTCTTTGAATGGTTAACAGAACGCTTCAAAAATTTTGAAAAATTTGTCTACCTAATTCGAAGAGCATTTTGAGAATTCCTTATTGAATTATCGTTTAATTTACGAGTATACTATAGGCGTTTAGAAACCGTTCATTTACTTCAGAGCTCGGTAATTCCTCGTGAAAAAGTAATTAGCAATTACAATTCCCTTTTTTTTCCTGTAATTGTAATTGTATTTAAGTACTTTTTTTATTAAAGTAATTTGGAATTGTAATTGCAGCAAAATTGTTATAGGAATTGTAATTTGTAATTATATTATTTAAACTATCGAATTACAAATTATTTCTATAAGTACAAATACTTTTTCCAATTACATTTACTTTTTCTAATAATTATAATTACTTTTAAGATCATGCGTATTGCGTAATTGCGTACAGACTTGCAGACTTCTATTATTTCATTTGAGGAAAGCCTTGCGCCGCGTGAACAATAAAAAGGGATATGGTGAATTAACCTCAGAATTAACAGTGTACATTTTATTTTATTATAATTATTATTAATTTAGAAAATATACGAAGTAAAAATATGTTGTCTATAGCATCAAGTTTTATAAAAATATATATTATGTATCTGTGTTACTGCTCTTATTTTGAGTTGAGAAAACTTCTGGTTCGGTTACTCAGCCTTTCACTCGTACTTGTTCGATTCGTAATTTTTTTAATAATAATTATTGCTTTCCAGTCTACCCAAAACTACTGTATTCTATATTTTGCAAATGTACTAACAACCAGAAAAAAGAGCATCGGGCTGAATTAATTACCTGACCAATAATATAAAATTATAGTATGAACTGAACTAGTTTAAATTATTCGATTAGGAATAAAAATATAAAAATTCTATATCAGAAAATGAATAAGAATAATCTTTTCATTTTAGTATCAATTCTAATAAATAATAAAACGCAATATTACACAACACTTTTAATTAAAATTTTTAACTTAATTTTTTCTTTTTTCTCTGTTTGGTCAAAGTAATTGCTAAATCCATTTTCCATGTAACTGTAATTAAATTAATATAATTCCTTTTTTAAAGAATATACTTTGTAATTGTAATTAGTTCCTTTTTTTTAAAAAAGTAATTTGTAATTGTAACTATTTTTAAATTACAAGTAATTACCCAGCTCTGATATACTTATTTATTTATTGGTAGTAATACAAAAATATATACATAAGTCGAATAAGAAAAAATAGTACACAGTTTTTAAAAAAATCTATGATATAATATATGACAACAAAAGATAAATACACATAAAATATAAAAACGGTGCAGAAACCAACTGTCACAGATAAAATTACTTATGTTCAAGGTGTATTATTACTTAAAAATTCTCCCACATTGTAGTATGATTTATGTGATGGAAACTACTCGACTTTATGATTAATTAAAACATCTTAAATCTAAATGTTATGTTTCTAGAGGTAGTGTAGATGTACCTTCTAATACAAACTTGTTCCTTGTTTTGAATTTTGAAGGTCGTTTCTATTGGAGCAACATAGGATTTTAACACTCTCGATCTGATAAATACCAATACCAATAAAACTAAATATTGTAGTTTGTTTTAGCTATATTCAGCAACTCATTTGAAAGAAACCAATAATTACCAATTAACTTATTTAACACAGTTCATCCCCGAATAATGTTTGGGTCGTCAGCGAACTGAATAGTTAATAGAGAGTCACCTACAGAGCAGGTTAAATAAATTCAGAATAATACAGGTCCAAACATAGATCTGTGTGGCACTCTTGCATTAAGAGCGAGACTGGTTGATCTAGAATTATTATGTATTACATATACATGTCTATTGGTAAGATACGATGTAATTAAATCAAAGACTTGAATTGCCAATGTTGCGAGAAACAACTAATCCGCGGGCTATATGCCTCGACCGGCATTGAATTATACTCGCAACACCTAGTACATACAACAGCTAGGATCGTTCGTCAGTTTAACCAACCAAACATAGACGGTTTCGGACTTATTGGTCCAAAACAGCTTAGTAGTTTATGACTTTAATACAATGATATTTAAATTAAAATTTAAAGAGGATATAAAGGATATTAATGAAATCGAAGCGAAGGCGACTGGTACGGTGGGGGGGGGGGGGGAGGAGGGCGCTTCTGGGACACCGCCTCCCTTAGAAATTTTCATACAAAATTACTCAATAATATGTAGTTAAATTTAAATCATATTATAGAAAAAGTAAACTGTTAATTGGTTTTACATACTCAGAATAGAGTCAAAAGTCACTCACTTGATAATTAGCAGAAACTCAGATTTGATTTAAATTCACTCAATGCAATAGTTTCACTCATAAAATTTAATTGTACTCATAATAATAGAGAGAAAATTTCAGTCAATCGGGTGTGGACAGAAATTGATACATTATTGAGTAAAATTGAGTAAATTTGAGTGATTTCTTTTACTGTGTACTGTAAACTAATTCAACTGGTTATGGGTCCTATAAAAAAAGCAAAACAGCAGTACCTATGTATTTTTTAATATTTTGACCGTCACGTCTATTTATTAGTTCCTTGAGGCTTCAAATAAATGCAGAACTCCTGGAACATTTTCGAAGCAAGATAACTTAGCATACGTCTCCCGAGGACGAGGAATATTTTGACGACTTTACTACAGTCCGTAGATATTTATTGAGATATAATTTAAATGAAACATAATTTAAATGGAACATTTCTCTTTGCTACGTTGTTTTTGACTTAAGCCCATATCATCTCGGATGAACAGTGAACGCCACGCCCCCAATGTCTTTCTGTCTGACGTATCGAATGCGGTTAATTACAAGATAGTGACGCAGGGGTCTTCTTGGAATTCCATCTCAACAAATATCGTACGGACTGTAGGTCCCATTATAACAGGAAGAAGATTAATAAGCAAACGAAGATATAAGTATTAAATTACAGAGCTATATTTTCAATAATACAACAAAGCTGCCTACATGGTAGCAAACATTAATTGACTAACTGCTGCTTAATTGCATACAAGCACTTGCAACCTTCGAATGCAGTATCTTCTGGGGTGCCTATGTTGACAGCACATTCCATCATTTTATCAACTATAGCCTCTTCAGGAACCATTTCCATTAGTCTTGTTCTCATGACGTCCCTTTGAATATCTCCCGCGTTATTGTGGACTCCCATTTTCTTTCCAAAGCAGAGCAGGTACGACTTGAACTTTGAGTCATCTATAAAATTTCCTCCCATTGCCTTCATAATTATTAGTTGATCTACACCTGTCTGAGCGACGCATTCGTAGTGATAGGCTTCCTGTTCTTTTTCTATGGAGCACTGTTTTAGAAAACAGATATAATAACAAAGATAAATATAATTTAATTTTTATGTTCATCATAACAGATCATTTCTTGACAGACTTTATTTTCAAAATAGTTGTAAATTTTTAATCTTTTTTAATTTAAAAAATGCTAATGTTCATTTCTAGTATTTTGTACATCTTTTTTGTGACCCACTTTCCGCAGCATAGAAAATTTGGTAAAAGATAGTGAATAATGTATTTAACTTTAAAGATTACCTCCAAATATATGCAATTTCTTGGATTTTATATAAAATTTGAATAAGATACGAAAAAAATACAATACATTTGCATTAAATATTATAAATCAAGATCAAGAGTACAATGAATATCAAAAATTCGTTGAATTGTGCTGCATAGTGTAATAATTATAAACAAATAATATTTACCTGAACTGCAGAGAAAGATATAATGCATAGAAATAGAAATAGGACAACTGTATTCATTGTGGTTACAGCTTGTTTTACAAATTAACGATGATGGTTGCAGAATGATCGGTCACTTTTTATAATAGAACTTCAATTTATTAATGATAGGTTAGGTATAATTTTTGGCCAAACCAACCAACCAATTTGCTTAATTTTAGTTTTGGTTGGCAAATAAACAAGGTAAAACGGAAGTGGTATTAAAAACAATAGGTTTCTTCCCGAATGACGTGTTTAGGCTATTATTTTTTCATACATTATTTCTACACATTCTTCTATATTATTCACAAACATATTAGTTGTAAGAGATTGTTACCAATTTTCCCAATTATTTCTACTAATATTAAAAAAGAACAGCACTTCTCCGTCTGATCATAAAGTACAACTAATAAATTAATTATAGGGAAAGAACTAACAAAGATTATTATATCAATGGATGGAAATTAATTGTATTATCTATATCAGAAAACTGGCTTCTTCACTGCTGAAAGTTATTTATGAATTGACTGATGAAAATTTAATTAATTAATATCCTAATCAATTATTATTTACGTGAGCACAAGTCTTACGATGACTGGGAAATTTAAGTTTGGATATATTTATTTCTTTATAATTTTTAGAATATAAAATGTAACTATACTCTCAAAAACATTATAAAGGCGAGGGCGTAATCATTTTAAACTCATCATTAATGAACTTAAGGAGTTCCCTTAAACCCTAGTGAATTCGTGAATTATTATTATTATTACTATTTTGATTGATTTCCTCCTCAAGTAATCATCTAAACTCATCTGGATGCTGTTAATAAGCTTGTTATTGGAATTATATTTCAACAAAGGAACAGGCAGGTCTAAGATCATAAATTGCACTTAATTGAATATTTTTAGGTTTAAAAAATCAAAGGATAAAATCAAATAAAACCAAAAACGAACAGTCATTCATTATTCGCGAAAAAACAAACTTGTTTGAACTTCCAGTACCTACTATCGCATGAGCTCACGTGACTTATGAAAAATATGAACCTATATGATGTCCCTTGCATTTAAATCTGTAGAAAATACATTGTGATCACGTGACACTTTCCATACTAGTTATGTGTAATACAACACTATTTACTGTTTTGTAGAAATGTTAAGCTCGCATAAGTATTTAAACGAATACGTATTAAACGAATTTATTCTTCATCTGAGTCACTGTCTGTGATCTCGTGAAAATGTGTTTGTTAGTTAACTGTGGCTAAGAGTGTGAAGTTTTAATTTTAATTTTAGTCAATACTTAGAAATGAGATAAAGAAAAAAAAAGAGTAATCAAAGCAAGTATTAGAGAGATCAATAAAATCATCTAGAAGCCAAACTGAACTTTGTAAAACTCAGCGCGTACCTTTCATGAAAAATTCTTCCACCTTATTTAAAACTTCTCTTTTGTAGTTGCAAAATATAAAAGGAATTCAAAACACTACTCAGCTCTTTTAGGTCGTTAGGTATTTCTATAAGTATATTTTTAGCTTTAGTAAAGAAAACTGTTTTTAACAAGCGAATTCAATGCAATCTGAAACAACTGTTCCAATATCTTAAATGATTTTTCAATTCCTCTTAAAAATGAATGTTTTGTGAACTAAAAATAATCTGCGAAACGCCACTTCTTCGGACTAAGCAGCAAAATAATCATGTAAACGCTTTGTCATATACCTAATTTGTATTTTTTAATTCGTAAACAATAATCATAACATAAAACAGAGCATAACTGAAAAATTAATTAGTGTTTCAAAATATTTCATCAAAAAGACTTATTTTGCATACTTGTTACATAATTTCAGTTTCAAAATGAAAACACTCGTTGGAAATATTAACTTAAAGTCTTGGGCAAAATGATAATATTTTATCTACGATCGTATCAAAAGTGACAGTTTTTACAAAGTTTTTAGTGTAATATAAATTATTTTTAATTGAGCCTATACAATAAAAGTTACACGTGCAATAAAAGCTTTTATCCACGACTATTGTATAATGTACCCATTATACGTCTGTTTGCTCGACCTTAATAATACCCATTAATCACGGCAGTGATTAACGAGTCATTAATCACTACTGTCAGATGCTTCCTTAATTTAGCTATAATATTATATTGTTCTGCTACAAACAATCCGTTTTTAAAATTTTATCGTGTAAACCACTAAATATTTTCAATTCAGTGCTGTACATATAAAAAAATAATTAAAAAAGTGAATTTTCCTAGACCGGATTCGAACCCGGGACCCGCGGTTGGAAAGGAAAGAGCATCTACACTGAGCCATCAGCGACTTCATTTGTGCGAGTCGTATATCTGTTTCTTAACATACCATGTTTTTCGAAACATTTCAAAAAAAAATATTTAGTAGTCGTGGATAAAGTATAGTATTCTACTCCCGTATAATGGGTATTATTCACTCGGTGATTTAGGCCACTCGCCTGCGGCTCGTGGCCGTAAACTTCACCTCGTGAATAATACCCATCATTATACGCTCGTTGAATAATATACTATTATTTTAGCTTATTATTTATTGTTAAAAGATTTAAAAAAGAATAAAAAGGATTTGAATTTATTGCAAAATTCTCAAAATTAAAAAATATTTGAAATAACGCCGTCGATAAAATTACAATTTTAACTTCCTGAAATTTTAATATATAAAGTTTTTTATTATATTTATTACTAATTTTATAAACATAATCAAAATTAATTAAAAAAATATTAATCACAACCATTTTCAATAATAGATATAAATAATGCAATATAATACAATTTAAAATTTAAATTTTTTTCTATTTTTGAGAAATAATAATTTGAAAATAATTTATGGATTTTTACTTTATTGTTACATTTAAATCGTAATTAAATAGTTAACAAAATATTGAAAAAACAAGTTTACTTTGCCTTAATATGTAAAAGAAATAACTTTTTAAATGAACGATAGCTTCATTTATTTATTTAGTAATGGTAAAATAATTCCGAAATTGAAATTTTAATTTATTTTTTTTAATTTACATTTTTGTAAATTAAAAAAAATTAATTATAAAAGATGCATTTTTTCTGGGGTTCAGGGCTATTCTACGAATTCGTAAATATGCCCATTGTTATTTTTTCGTCGAGCTACTCCAGTTTAAAAAAAATATATAAGTTTCTACGATGAATAGAAGCCGAGATATTGCAAAATTTACAGCGCGCACTTCCCCCACCACAACGCCGCCGGCTGCCGGACAGTTTACTTAGCGAGTACCTTCTCTTTAGAGGGCTCGTGAGTCGTTAATTTTCCACATTTGTCAATGCAATTCACGAGAAATCGTAGTTTACGTCGTAAACTTTATTTTGCGAAAAATTCAAGTCTTAATATTTATAAACAATTGCGCTACGATTTAAAAAAAAAATCTTATCTTGGCGCCTGTTGGTCGTAGAGGGTACTTTTTTTATTTTAAAACTGTATTTTTTTGCCAGCTATCTATTGCATCTATTTTCGGTGAGATAGCATAAATAGCAACAATGTTATTCAAATTGTTTATAAGCGAAAAACGCATGGTTTTTTAATGCACAATTTGAGAATATTAATGTCAAAATAACGGTGATACTTTTTAATAGGTCGCTTAATTGCGTCTTTAAGATTACAATGACGCTTTCAGAATCATGTTTGATTGAAAATTAACGTCTGTACAGAGGCTTAAGGTTCATAACTTTTGGAGCCTCCGCTATAAACAAATAGAATTGTGCGAAACCTATTGCACCTACAACGCCCACTTTTGACACACTTTTAAAGTATGACAAAACCCTCAACTTGTCATAGGTTTTATAAAATTTTAACAATAAATGCGATAGTTATAAACAAATGAAAAAATGGGCACTTTTCTTGTTTTTTTGCAATAACTTTTTTGTTTATTAACCGATTTTAATTTAACCAGTCTCATTTTGTAGATAATTTTACTCTATATAAGCTGTCTGGGAGTCACTTTTCGCTAAAATTGATGGTTTTCCCTGCAAAGTGAAAAAACTGTTTTCCTCACTTATTTGTTTAAATAGAAAAGTTAGCTAATAAAAGTTTTTGACTCACGAAACGAGAGATGTCTTGTATTATGTTCCTTTAGACAATTTTACAATAATCTAGCGGATACGACTTTTTTCGAGTTTCTCTTTTATTTTCGCTAATTTTCCTGGTGTATTCTTTATTGCCATTGCATCGTTCGTGTTCCTTGACCCAGCATACAGATATGCTGTTGAAAACTGAGGCCACGACAAGTGGTGCCTGGTGATATTCCCATACTGACTTATATTATTTTATAACTATTTGCGATCAGTAATGCTTGTCTACTATCTGTGTAGATTCTGACGGTTTGACCCGCAGTGAAATTCCGTTTGTACCACGATAGCATACCTATCAATTGACGATATCGGATAAGCAAGGGTTTAGAATAAACTCCACATCCTGCACCTTCCTTTCTTTTTGATCCGTCTATGAAGACGTTAACTACATCTTCAGCGGTCTCCACCTGTCTTCTGATGAGTACTGTGTAGAGTCTGTAGAAGAGACGTCTTTCTAACGACTCTATTCCATAGGCGACTCCTAACTTCTGCACATCCTACATCCGGTTTGAAACCAACGTTCTTGAGGCGAAGCATGATTGTCAAGGCCACTTCTCTTAGATAGATGTCCAGAGGTGGCAGACACAGCATTACTCCATTGTTATGATGTGTGTTGTTTGCATAGCTCCAGTGCCTGCTAAGACAGGCAATCCTTTGTATATACCTATCTGAGCTTTTGTGTAGCTATCGTCTGCAGGACCTTCGACCATCAGACGACAGCCCCGTTAGCTAACATTGGTCTCACAGTGGCGGTGTATACCCACATGACCACTTTTGGTTTTATTCCCCAGGTTTTACCGATGATTCTGCGGTACTACTCATAAAATATGTACGCCTTTTTTAATCTCATTTCAATATGAAGATTCCATGTTAGCTTTACATCCAGTGTGACTCCTACGTCCGATGCAAAGCTTTTGTTACTTCAATTTTAAATATCAGCATCTGCAAGCATGGTTGTAGATGTTTATTTACAATATAGTTTCCTTAGTGCCCATTAGTAACTACTTAAAATTTTTAATAGTAATGCAGCTGTTCTTAATGTTCCTCGAATAATACTAGCCGTCAGTGTCATTTATAAAAAATCGATATAGCTCTACAAATATTCATAAAAAAGTGACAATTCCTTACAAGAATTTGCACGATCAAGTCCTTCGTGCAATAACTTTTTACACATGTGTCTTAAATAAATATAATGGCTCTTTTTATCACAGAAATGTTTTAATTAATTGTATTTGTTTTTTTTAAATGAAAAAGCTGTACCAAGTTTTAAATACCACATAGTATGTAACACAAATGAAAACAATTGTTGTAAATTGCAAAAAATATATATATATTTCCAATAATAAAGTAATAAAATCGTCTACATTTCATTAAAAGTAGTCAACGAACTTATTTTTGTATGCATACATGCACTTGCAACCTTCAAAAGCAGTTTCCTCTGGTGTAGCCTTCTCCACAGCGCATTTCATCATCTCATCAACTGTAGCATCATCACCAAACATTTCTAACAGTTTCGCTCTCATAAAGTCCTTCTGAAGCTCTCCAGCGTCATTGTGGAATCCCTCCTTCTTGCCGAAACAGAGCAGATAGGACTTAAACTTTGGATCATCTGCGAATTCTCCATCCATTGCCTTCAAAACCGTTTCTTCATCTGCACCTGTCTGTGCCAGGCATTCATTGTGAGTAGCTTCCCTTTGCTCTTTTGAGAAACCCTGGTTTTATAAACAAAAATTATTAACACAAATTTTATTTTTTATTTATTTTAGATACATGAACACATTAAAACCACCATTTTTTTTGTTTTCTACAAATTAAGTAAGAAATGCTTTTAAGATATCATCTATTTTATTTAAAAAAAATACGGATCATTTAATTTTTACTCATATAACTCTATTCGTTTTGCAAAAACATAATGATTTGGTTTTCCTGAAATGCGATTTTAAATAAAATGTAAACTAGAAATATCTATACAAATAATTGGCGTAGAAATTTTGAATATTTTCAAGGCTTTGCCTCCTGCTATGCATAAGAAAAAGCAAAATTAGCAATGACCTATATTTGACATTTTATATTTCAGCGAAAAATGTATAACAACTGCTAATAAAAATGGATGTTTACCTGAACCGCAGAGAAAAATATAACACAGAGGCACAGAATAGCGGCTGTATTCATTGTGTCGTTGTAGCTTGATATTGAAAACTAACGATGATAGCTGTGCAATGGTCGGTCACTTTTTATACTAAAATTTCGACTGTTAATGATAGGTTACAATTTTTAACCAAGGATTATTCGCTTAATTTTAGATATTATACCAACAGGTATAACGGAAACAAAATAGAAAATATATAATTTTTAAATTTTAAGGACATTATTCTTTTGTATTGTAACATATTCCCGTATTATTTGCAGATACATTACAATTGTAAAATTAAATTAAGCGATTTCAGACCAGAAACTATTAGCAACATCTAATACAGTAAGGTAAATATGCTGGATTTCATAAGGAAGATGGCTTAAAACGTATTTGCTATAATTGCGAAATTTGACATTACTTAGGTATTTATTCCGATGTAATTATAATTTATTGTAACACATTTATTACTCTGAAATTTGCGATGTCTTATGTTTAAAAAAAAAAATTGCAACTACGTTATTTGTGTCAAGAGGTTCGTAATAAAGAAAATATTCTTGTTTGCGATCTTTTAATCAAGGAAAATATGGAAAAAATAAGCAAACTTTTTTATTCTGAGATTTTTTTATAGCAAAATTTCAAAGGAAACAGATTTTTCTCGAAAATATTAAAAAGCCATAACCTATAAAATGATACATTTAATGTTCATACATATTCAAACCTCGGAAAACTAGATTTTCCAACAATTTTCCGCAATTTTTTCTCTAATACACATTTGTTATTTATAAATGAAATGATCATTATTTTGGCTCCAAAACACAAATAATCACATAATCTTAAGAGATTTTGCCTAAAATAACGAAAGACATTGTATGAAAAACATTAAAATATGTATAAAAAATAGCTTACATTCTCAAAAAAAATATGTTTGCATTACACTTCTTTCATCAATTCTTAGTGAGTTTTTGGCATCCTCTACTTCCAAAATATTTCATATACCTTCTCGTATTTTTCCTTTGATTTTAAATGAAGTAAGTTCGAAGATGCTTCTCGAACGGCATTTAAAATATCTTCAGAACAATTTTTTTCTAAATTGTTTGCTGTAGCAATACTCATTTTTTATAATAAGTAAGTTAGAGTATAAATAAATCCTGTAAGAAAGGTAGTTTTACTAAATGTTTTACTTTTTTGTGAAGTTAAGTTAAATCAGTTCTTTTTTGGCATCTTTTGGAACTACTGCTTTGGAAATTTATGAGAGACTAGCTACATTGAGCTCGATTTTTGTTTTTATTGAACTGAAAACAAATGAAGTGTTACCATAGAAATGCCAACTAAGCTTTTGAGAATTTTTTATTTTCAAAATATTGACTTTCTGCATGTTTTACTCCGCATGATTTTTGCATATTTAGATTCTTTAGATTTTTCTGTATTTTTTTATACCAATATCTTCTTTCTAGGTTAACTTTCAAACTCTAACCAAATTTTACTTAATTTTGGAAATTCTAACTAAATTAAGTTATGCATCTTAATTTTCTGACTGTATGTCCATTCATTGTCTTTAATATTTTCCCTTTTTCACTTTTCTAACAGTCCTTTAGTTTTTTAAACCTAACGATTGAAAAGTTTTAGGTTCATCGATTTATCGAGAACTTTTAAAGTTTACACACAAATTTGAACTTGGGTTAGAATCTTAATGCAGTTTTTGATGTTAGGAAGGTCTTTTACACTATACACAAACTATTTATAGCAGTTCTACAACACTTTTAAAACTAGAAATTTACAAGTTTTGGCGATAACATAGATCTGTCATTTTGAAACGCTACATGAAACTCTTAAGAATGGCTCAGGTTTAATTCTACTCATAAATATTGACTATAGGTATGCTATATTTTAATTTTATACAAGATTTATTATATGCTACACCTTTATGTGAGAAATTCCTTCACCATTCGTCGAACGAATTCATAGAACGATTTTAAAACTTATACTACTACAAACTTATTTTACATACAAAAATATCCTTCATTTTAACCTTTACTGTGATCCACACAGTTTTTTTTTATATTACAATTAAATATTTAAGTTTTCATGACAAATCAAAACACTATGTAGGTATAAAATAAATTAAACTTTATGAAATTCGGGAAGTGGAAATTTGCAGCTTTCGTAAAAAAAACAGTTCCACCTTATTTAAAAATCCTTTTCCGTAGTTGTAAAATGCAGACTCAATAGGCTCCTCGCTCGACTCTTTCAGGTCGTTAGGTATTTCTGTAAAAATATTTTCAGCTTTAACAAAGAAAGCCCCGTGTTTTCGACAAGCGAATTCAATTCCCTAAAAGCTTCTTGAATCAAAAGGAGCGCCTACAATATATGAGCGGAATAACAATTTCCTTCGACACTACTGGTCACCTAATAGAATAAAAGTAAATGCCGAATTCGATTTTATCCACGTAAATTTTCCGGTGGTGGTCCATTAAGTGAAATTGCCTTAAAATTTAGTACGCTTTATAGAAAGAGACTAGTCTTGCGGAAGTGGCATACATCATGTTTGCTCATTCAGAATAGAGAAGATTTAGAAAAATATCAATTCGATGGTCCACCAAAATCGATATTCTGAAGAAAAATACAATGACTAACCCTGAAAACTGTTTTCTTTTTATCTACGACTAGATTTGTTAACAGAATTATAATCGCGACGAAATTATCTTTTATACAGGGTATTTATTAAGTACTTAGTGAATGTTTGACTAATTTTAAGATAAAAAGTTCATATGAACCATGGTTCTTGGTTCAAAAAAAATTTTTGTTTGGTATTTTGATTATATTTTTGTTCAGTAACATGTCAATTTGACGAAATTCTGGAAACTAGGAGTATTGTTGATGAGAAACTGATATATTTATTTAGTTTTCTGTTTAATGTTGTACCTGAATTTAAATTTAACTAACCATAACTTTTTTGTGTCGCATTTTATATGATTTTTATATAAATATTTGAGTTTCTCATCATCAATACTCCCAGTTTCCCGAATTTCATCGAAATGCCATGTTATTGAACAGAAAAATAATCAAAATACCAAACATTTTTTTTAACACTCTGTATCTTAAGAACCGTTGTGGATCCATGTTCATATGAACTTTTTATCTTAAAATTAGCTAAAGATTCGCCCAAGTTGGTACAAGTACTTAGTAAACACTCTGTATAGGTATAAAATATATTTTATCCAAGTCAAGGTTTTAGTGGGATAAAGATCAATAAATAAAAGAACACTATATTTTAAAGCATTGCCAACGTTTCGGTGTTATTTTACACCATCCTCAGGGCTCTAAAATACAAACAATGTTTTTTTAAAACCTTGACTTGGATAACTAATCAAGATTGCAAAACAGTGGAAACGTTAATATATTTTATGTTAGAGAATTATAGGACATACAATAAAAAATTGAGGATTAAATATAACATATCCATTTTGCCAAAAAGTGATGACAAATAAAATGAATTTACCTTGGAATTAAAGTATGAAACGGGTGAGATATAGCCTACAAAGTATGTAATGCCTTAATTGCCATTGCTACTCACTATCATTAGTCAAAAACATTATGATGGTGTTAATAAGGTACCTACTCTACAAGATGGAAAAAGATGTTTTAGAAAATGAAAAATGACACTCACCAAATTAAATATAGAATGAAAATAAATCTATGTAGTTCCAAATAGCATAATTTTGCCTCTTTAAAGAATTAAACGATTTAAAGAAAAATGTAATTTACTTAAAGTTTATTTTTTATATATCATATGTCAGATATTCATAATTTTTATATAAACCTGAATATTGTAACATTTGAATAAATGTAGTCTCATAGATAACAACTTTTCAGGCAAAATCTAGTGAAAAGAATCAAAGATCATCCAAAAATAAGTTAAACGTTGATAAATTTGGACAACAAACAAGCTATTTTTTATACATAGTGAACTCGAGAATACATCAAATAATTCTTTTATTAATATACAGGGTGATTCAGTCATATATTTTCGCTCATATAAAGACAATAAACAAACGGTTTGCTCACGTCAGCCCATAATAATTCAAAATCCCCGAGGAAATCTGAGCATGCCTTGCCAAAAATCAGTTTTTATTAACATCATAATGTTAATGTTTTAATTTGCTGTAAGCCTTCGCAAGATAAATAAACGATCGAATGGAGACAAATAAACAACTCGGTACGTGTTTCCGACCTAGGCTAACCTGTTTTTAGGTCACTAACCTTCTAATTTGCACGTGCTCTATAGTCTAGGAGCCAGATAGGGTTCCGTTCAAAATGCCACGACTGCAAACAACTTATTCTTAACTATTTTGACCTCCTGAATCCAAAAAACTTGGTCGTAAAGCGTGAAAGTGGTCAGTTTAATTGTTATCAACAAATTAAATGTTTAAATGGCTGTAAAAAGTTTATTTTTATAGCTAGTACACGGAACCCTATTTAGCTCCTAGACTAATACGAACTGTAGTCGCGCCAAATTTTGTATACGCGGGTTTTCGGGGTCACTAATCACGAATACGAGATGAGATTTACAAAATTCGTTCATAAAAATTTAATCAATTACCTATGTACTTTATTATCCGAGACTAAACAGAAAACCCGCCAATAGATCTTTTACAGAAAAAAGAACAAGATATAGCCGAAAAAAGAAGGTTAGAACATGATTGGGTACTCAGGTTTTAAAGTAAACAAAAATATTACAAAATGAATTTCGCAGTTCCTCAAATTCGTAATCAGCGACCCCGAATTTGACGCGAATTTGTTATTTTTTGAAAATTTGGTCGTCCATCTTGGACCCGCCATATTCAATTTTGCAAAATTGGATTGGATCCTTGATCAGCGACCCCGAAAACCCCCGTAAACCAAATTTGGCGTGAATCTGTTATTTTTTGAAAAATCTTGATATCTGACCTTAATTGACCCGTTTTTTTGAAGAAAAAGAACCATCTGTTCTGACCGAGGATTCACGTTCGGCGGGGTCTTAACCATATAAATGAACATT